AGAATTTTCAGCCATATTCTGAAGATGCTTTAAGCCTGAATAGGTTGTTCTGCTTCCTTCTGAAATGAGGGTCCAGATATAGTTGATAAAAGTCACTGTCATCACATCTTAACTGACATTGACCTAGCTGATAGACGAGGCTCATCGATATGTATTTACACACTCACTTTCTACTCCATGTTTGTTTTTAGTTTGATTAACAGTCAGGACCCGTGAATCACACCGCCTGGATTTCAATCCAAACTTTGTTATGAATTAGCTGTAGAATTTCTTCTCTAAAATGAGAACAATAATAGAACCTGTTTTACAACGTCAAGGATGTTAATTGAGATAAGCCAAATAAAAACATTTAGCACTGTCTGGCAAACAGTAGGGGATTGATAAAAGCTAACTCTTCAGAATACGGATCTGATTTTTAGGAAAGACCTGGCTAATTCCTCAAATAAAATCTCTCCAAATGTGCCTGAACTGGCAAGCGGGAGGGGCGCATAAAAATACAATTTTTTATTATCTAAGAATAAGATTTTATTTTATCTTGAAAGATAACTAACTGGTTTGGGTGGGTCAGAGTGATAGGAGCAGGGTGGACTCAATGAGTTAACTACAAAGGTTTTTGCAACAGTGTGCTAGATGCAAATCTCTGTGAAACATGGGCTGAGAGCAGAATTCATTTATGAAACATGCTAATGCCTAATGAGCTAAAGTTTTGAGCAAAGTTATGGAAAAATGGTATTCTTGAGAACTTGACATTTCTGCATGCGTTCTACGCACTGAGAAATAGTGTGTAGATCACAATCACAATCACAATACTTCCCATGAAGATTGCACAGCCAGACACTGTGTTGAGAGATTTATATCCTTCATCTCACAGATCTGGGCTTCATTAGTCTCATTATACTGACAGGGCAACTGCAGCTCAGGGAGGTTGAGTAACTTGTCCTGGATCACACCCCAGGTATGTGATGTAGCTGATCTGAACCAAGTCTAACCGCAGAGCCTGTGACCTTAACCACGGAGCCTGCTTGCCTCTCAGGGTTGTAGTCACAAGGAAGGGTTTCCCCCAAAGTCTTCACCCCCTGATGCCACATCCTTTGGGACAGGCCTCATAATCCTGTGAAGTTGGCACAAACCCTGAAGTCAGCCCTGTAAGCTTGGGCCCTTTCAAGCCAGAGCAGAAGAGCACCATAGGCTTCCCAAGGGCAGAGAGGACATGGGCAGGGCTACCTATTTGCTCAGCATCTGGGAGGTGATGCTCAGTACCTGAGAGGCAGGTCATGGTACAGACCGGCATGAAACTGATGCTCTCGAACTTAAAGAGGGTTTCTCAAACCCAGGTGAGGAACAGCCCTTGCTGTAAAGCTCTTGGGAGTCAGGCCCAAATCCTACACCGTCTTTGTGCCTTTGTGCATCGAGATACCACACAACGAACGAACGTCAACGATGAGAAGGGCTCTGGGCCATTTAGGCCAATTCTCTCACTTGACCTTAAGAGGGGGAGGGACTTTCCCGGCAGTGTCAGAGCTAGAATCCAGGCCTCCTGACCCCAGGCCACCAGGGCTCTGCCCAACACCAACTGGAAGTCCAATAAGCATTAGGAAACCCAACGTTGGTGCAGAGCGTGGAGCAGCTCTACATGTGGAAGGCACTGAGATGGTGAGCCCCGCACTAGGAGGATGCTCCTTCAATGTTAGCAGAATGGATGGATGAATGAATGAATGAGTGAATGAATGAATGAACAGTTTCCCACAGCAAAGGTCTTTCTTTGACAGTCACCTACATGTATTCTTGAGCTGCTATGACTCAGCAAGCTATAGAAGGCAGCCAGCTATAAGCAGAACTCTCTTTAAAAAAAAAATTAATAGTAGGTATATGGAAATAGTCTTGGTGAAAACTTTTAAAGAGGTATGTACCCATGAAAATAATTATAAAGATGATATAGCAACATGGAAAACTACTTGCAGTGTACGATTAAGGAAGAAAATAATATGAAACTGAGCCTATGCCATGAGTACAACCGTGCAGAAATTACGCTGGTATGGGGGTGGGGACAATTAAAAACAGCTTGTATTTATTGAACACTTGCTTCCATCAGAGCTCCTCCGGCCAGGGCCACCCACCCCACAACTGCCATGTAGTTCCCCTGGTTCCCCATGACCCCAGACAACAGCAACCTGGCCCACGTATCCCTCAAGCCCCACCACTAGATTGACTTTCTAAGAGCTGGCGGGCCCTTTGGCCTTATCCTGTCTTCGCCATTTCTCCCAGAAGAAAGAGGCCCAGAGAGACACCTACAGGTGTTGGGGAAGGCGTAGGGGCCTCCTGACCAGGGGCCGCTCCCTTCACCTACGCTCTGTAAGACCTGAAGAGGCTTCCTGTGGGCCAGCCTGGGTCTAAATCAGCAGTCACATTGTTTTCAGGGGAAAAGAAATGCGGAGAGCCAAGAGCAATGTTTACATCCACCTCTCGTGGAATATGGGGTCCAGCCCAACTACTGAACTGAAATGAATCCGACCTAAAATGTCTTGGTTGAGGCAGGCTGACTGGAAGTGCTGCCTTCCTGGAATGAGAGTCCTTCCATACTACTGTTTTATGACACTGTTTAATGCGAATCTGAACGATCCCTGCTTTTAGCAGACGGCGTCGGGGCGGAGGCCCCCCGCCCACTCCCTGTGGTCATCCCCATCCCGCAGCGGGATGGACTTCCTCATGTTCATGCACAGCACCTCATCGATGTAGATGGTGTTCTCTTTGACCTGGATCTCCTCCTGCAGGGCCAGTTGTCTGCGATTCAGCCCTTTCAGCTCCACCTGAGCCTGGGCCAATGTTTCCTTTAATCTAGGAAAAGAACATAAAGGAATAAATTATCACTCTGCATCGCTTTTTCAGGGGGAAAAAAGGTATTCATGTGTTCAGTGCAGAAGCCAAATTTATATGTCCTTCTCCCTTGCTCTTCCTTAAGACAGGGATTTCAAATTGGTGGCCATGGGCTGGATTCACAAAATAGACAACCCCATGAACTGCCAACATTTAAAACTGTACATTTTACCTAAACATCTGGACTTAGACTTCTTCAGAAAAATTTAAACACTGGGCTCCATTTCCTGCGTGGCAGCAAACGGGCTGGCATTAGAAAGGAACTCTTTGACTGTTCTCTATGCATAGAAAGAAAGTCCTCAAGCATTATAGATGCAAATGTGCTCATGCCCAGAAGGCTTCACCCACGATGACACTGCCTAGCCCTGTTCACAATTCCGGTTTAAATGTAGCCCCAGTGGCCCTCCACCTACCAGCTGCCAACCTACCTTGCAACGTTGTGGGTGATCTCATGAACCTCCTTAATCAGCCTATACTGTGCCACATCGCGACACAGCTCCACGTTAGGCCGACATGTCCTGGTCTCCAGGCGTGTATGAGCCACCTTGGCAGGACCTTCTTGGTCAAGGATGGCTTTTTCAAGAACTGTAACATTTTTCTCCTGGGAAGCAATCTCTTCCATGACCTTACAAAAAGGATTAGAGTAGGTGAGCCCAAGTTGTGCTCCTCAAAACTCAACATCAGACACTCTTAGGAGGTCTCTTGTGATGGCGTAAGTTAGGGAGAGGGGACCTCAGGTTTCTACCCAATCAGGGCCCCACAATGAGTCTGATCTCTCTTCCCTAGAGCGGTGATTGCTGGTGAGCAAGGCAACTCAACCCAACCTTCAAGCCTCACAGGTGGGATGGACATGACTGGTCATTGTTGCCTCACCTCCTTCCTAAATAATGTGAATCCCCTGGAGAATGCCCTCAGCAAAGGCTAGAGGCTGCCCATTTACCTTGGTACAAAGTACCTTTTTATCATGAGCAGAAAGCTGCGTATTTCTTTGTCAACCCACCTAATAGCACCAGTTCTGCCCCCTAGAAGCCTGAAGGAAGAGTGTGAGCAGTTTAATCTAAGTTTCGTTGGTTTCTTTGAAGGTGGCTTTGTGCACAGAAAAGATAACTTAGAAGTTACTTGGATTTTTAGATTAATATTTAACTAGTTTAAAATGTTATTTCTTTCTTAAGCTTTAAAAAATCAAAACAAAACAAAATAAAACAAAACAAAAAAAAACCTTTGCGTCATGGAAATTTCCAAACATACACAAAAGTAGCTCATATAATGAACCTCAAGTATCCATCATCAATTTAAACAATGATCAATACATGGACAATTTTATCTATAACCCTCTCTCTCCACCCTTGCCCATAAGCTTAATTATTTTAAAGCAAATCCCGGATATTATATCATTTCAGTCTTAAATGCTTAAGTATATATTCCTAGGATATAAAATACTCTTATTGTCTTTTAACATAACTACAATACCTTTGTGTGTGTGTCTGTCTCTCTCACACACACATCCACAAAAGAGTGACTCTTTAATATTATCTAATATCTAGTGTTCAAATTTCCCTGATTGTCCCATATTTTTTTGTAAGAGTTGATTTATCAAATTAGAATCCGAATGAAGTCCACACATTGCATTTGGTTTTCTTAAGCCTTTTCTTAACATTTCTTAAGCTTTTCTTAAGTTCAGTTCACAGACATTACACTATTTTTCAATTTAGCCAATATTAACAATAACTTTAAATTGATTTTGATTAATAGTTGCTCCCACTTTAAGTTTAGTTAAAATCCTTTGAACATTTATTTAAAGCATTTATAAATTTGACATATAACAAAGATGTAGCATTAATAAATTTGATATAATACTTTGTAAAAATACTTGAGTTGTCTTAACAAACAAGGCCTTCTAAAGTTCTTAAAAGATCTCATCAATCTAATAAACTAGTAAAAATGATTAATCTTAAATTCTCTTAAATATTTTAACACGTTGTAACCATGTCTTCAAACTTAAAATTTCAACTAAAATCATAAGACTAAATTATTTAATTACATATTGTGTTATAATTTTTAAAAAACAGGCCAAGTTCTCTTAAATTTTACAAATACTTAAAATATCCAAAATACACAGATTCCTTAAACAAAACTACTAATACTATGGGCTAGATCAAGAATCAGCAAACTATGGCCTATGGGCCAAATCCAGTCTGTCACCTGTTTTTGTACAGACTGAAATAAGAGTGTTTTTTAGATTAATAGACTTTATTTTTTAGATCAGTTTTAGATTTACAGCAAAACTGAGCAGGAAACAGAGAGTTCCCATATGCCTGTTTTTTCACTGGGCTATTTGTTTTCTTATTGTTGAGTTTTAAGAGTTCTTTGTGTATTTTGGATAGCAATCCTTTGTCAGATATGTGTTTTTGAAATGTTTTCCCCAAGTCTGTGGCTTTTCTTTTTATTCTCTTTTAAAAGAAAGGTTTTTATATTTTTAAGTAGTTGAAAAAACTCAAAAGAAGAATAATATTTCGTGTCATGTGAAAATTACATAAAATTCAAAGTTTAGTGTCCATAAATTAAGTTTTATTGGAACACAGCCATGCTCGTTCATTTACATATGGCTACTTTTAACTCTACAACAACAGAGTTAAAAAGTTGCAACAGATCACGTATGCTATACTCTTACTGCTTTGTGTAGCTGTCCAGGGTATTACAAATCCCAATGACACAGTTATAACTTGACAGCTTTCCAAGTGCTACGTGTATCACCATACGGTGGCGTCTTATTTTATTTTTTTATGACCAGTACATACTTATCATGCTAAAACAAGAAAAATGAGCTTCATGTGTTGCATTTTTAAGGTGGAGTGAAGTGTAGATTTTGTTAACTAGATAGCAAAGCATTGTGTGTATTATGCTATGACACTACAGCTGTGCTGAAAGAATACAACATACGTCATTACCAGACTATGCATCATCACAATATTCCCAACTCACAGGACAGCAATGATCAGAAAAATTAGAAATGTAAAACAGTATGTCTCATCACTGCAGATTTTCTTCACAAAAATGAAAATGAGGCTGTTATCAAAGTAAGAGTCCGAGTGGCTCATTTGTTATCCAAACAAAGGAAGCCCATTACCAATGGTGAGTTAATTACATCATGTTTGATGGCAGCAGCTGAGGAAGAGTGTCCAGGGAATATAAATTTGTTTAAGACTATTAGTCTTTCTGCAAGAATAGTTGCTTAAAGAGTTACGGACATTGGAAACAGCATCAATAGTCAATTAAAAAACAAGGCACATGATTTTGGATGGTTTTCCCTTGCTCTTCATGAGTTGGCAGGTGTTCTGATGCTGCTCAGTTGTTTATTAAATGAGTCAGTGCTGCGTTTGAAGTGACTTAAGAATCAGCCCCTATGAATGGTTTCATGAAATAACTAAAGGTGAGAATATTTTCAAAAAGTTGAGAAAACACAAATTCAATACAACCTGAAGTGGAATCTGCTAAGAAGTGTTATAGCTGATGATGGTACAAATATGTGTGAAGCAGAAAAAGGCTTCGTTGAACATATTTACAGAGCTTGTGGAAATGTAGGCTATTTAAAGGCTCTGGTTATTCATGGTATTATTAATCAGAAAGTACTTTGCAGAAAATATTTGGATCTATCATGTGTGATTGAACCAGTAGCATCAACAGCGAACGTCATTAGCTCTCACAGATTTGACAATCATCAATTCTGTGAATTTTTGTCAGAAATAGAAGCTGAATATCCTGACTTGCCCTAATACTCAGCAATTCAATGGTTTGGCAGTGGTAAAATTTTCTTGTGATTTATTTTTAGCTCACAGCCAAGACTGAAATTTTTCTGAACAAGAACTACTGCCCTCAACCACTATTATCAAACACTGAATGGCTTTGGAAATTAACTTCTGCTGCAGACTTAATATTATTTCTTAATGAATCCAATCAAAAATCACAAGACAAGACAGCACTTTAAAAGCAAAGCCTAAACTGCAGTAAAGTCATTTCAACAACTAACGTGGTTTGAATCACAAATAATATCAAGCTGCTTTATATACTTCCTGTGCTGTCAAAAGTTAAAACAAGAAGTAAGACCTCCATTCCCACACAGATTTGTAGCAGATATATTTTCCAAGTTCCAGCAGTGGTTTTTATTTTTTTGGACATCAAAGCAAATGCAAAGGAAATTTTCATATTTCAAAATCTACTTAACTGCACAATTGAAGAGCTTCTACCTACCCTTCAGCTGGAAGTGATTAATCTGAAATGTCATGACATGCTAAGAGGCCAGTATCAGGAGAAGACTCTAACAGAATTCTATAAATGCCTTCCAAGCGATAAATACATTCAATTATCACATGCTCATAGATTGTTATCAGTACTTGGCAGTACCTATCTGAATTAAAAGACATTTTCAAAGATGACATATATAAAATCTCGTTACACATCAGCATTCACAGGTGAAAATTTGCACCAGATTTTGACAGGAAACACTATCACATAATAACCTTTGATTACATTCTGGCTTGTCCTGCTCATCACATAAATAAATCTTGTCTGACAACTAGACTCTGGGTTTCAGAAGGGCATGGTATGAATGCAGCAGGAGGACACGATTTTGGGAGTTGAGCAGGCCTGGGCTCTAGTCCCAGGCTGACAGCAATGTACCCTGTCACATGCGGTCCCTTCTGCTCTCTACGTCTCACTTTCACCATCTGTAAAATGCAAGGTTTGGGTTACTGTTCCCATGTTACAGGTAAGATACGAGGCTCAGAGAGCTTGAGGGATCAGCGTGAGTCACTCAGTTTGTCTGTCACTGGACTGGATTTGGGTCCACATATCTTCAGTCCAAATCCAGCACTTGTTCTACTAGACTTGACACTGAGGTGTAGCTGAGTTTAGCCTGTGGGATGGTCATATGTACTCAGGATCCAGGGGTCTTTGCAGGTAGGGAAGTGTACTGGAGCAGGCTCATGCAGGCTCTCAAAGTTAAATATTCAGGAACTTTGCCAGACCCATGTTAAATGGGTAGCTTGAAATCAACCATGGTGGAAATATTTACATGTATACTATGAAAATCTGCAAATTCTACAAAACAGGACTTTTTTTTTTTTTCTGAGAGCCATTTTACCAGCATACCACATAAACAGGAGGAACTGTTTACCAGCCAGAATCCTGAAGTTGCAGCTGGGTTTGGAGAAATTGGTTGCATTCAACTCATGGAACTTCAGAGTCATAAACAATGTCTGAGACAATCTAGTCCATCTCCATATTTCACATAAGGAGAAACTGCGGCCCAGAGTGAGGAGATGACCTGTGCCTTGCAACAATAAGTGACAAACGAGGCCCAGAGTGGGGCCAAGTCCCACTCTCGGCCCCTAAAACCCAAGGCCTGTTGCTAAGATGGAGAGATGTGAATGACTCTTACTCACAGGATCACAAGCACAGAAGGCCAGCTGCCTGGCCCTGAGGACATTCCAGGTTTCCATGGTGAAACCTGAGTGTGTTCTTCCACGTTCCCTGCAGGGAGCTCACCTTGGCCAGATGAACAGCCAGCTTGTCCCTGGCATCCTTGGTCTCCTTCAGCCCATTCTTGAATGCTGTGTCCACCGCGTCACATTGCTTGCGCAGGTCGTTGGCCGTCTGGGATAGGATTCGGTCTACCAGGGCCTTCAGTGTCAGGGAGTTGTTCCTCTGCTTGTCAGCCTTCTCCACATTGGTACTGGAGAAGTCTAACCAGTCTTCCAGACTCACAGAGCTGAAAAAGAACCCACGCCTTCGTTCACAGCATATTTGGACTGGGAAGGGGGTGTGGAGAGGGGACAAGCTCCTGGAAGCCCACTGGAAGCTAAGTCTACCTCCACCACTAGAAGCACCTAGAACATTTCCTCACTGCCAGGCAGAGCAAACAGTGGTCTGTCAGCGGCAACAGATGTCACTCTGGGGAAACCCACTTTGTGCCAGGCACTGGGCTAGCACTTTACAGATGTTATCTCGCTTAGTCCACACAATGGCCTAATAAGCTAACTTTTATAAGCCCCATTTTACAGATGAGGAGAGCTGAGGCTCAGAAAGATGGAGTAACGTGTTCAAGATCACACAGATAAGGACAAGTTGTGCATCGAAATAAGTAATAGTAGTGACAGATTATAACACAATGAATAAGATAGGAAACACTGAGTCCATACTGAGATAAGCAAGTAAGTGAACAAATTGCTAGTTTAACAAGGAGCTGCTTTAAATAACAATACTGAAAAATCTCAATGTTGATTGGAAAATCACTGATACATGCACAAAATAGATAGTAGATGATGCTATTTAATAAGCATAAAAGCAGGCAAAACAAACTTATTAGAAGTCGGGAATACGGTTACCTTTGGGAAGGAAAGGCAGGTTATTGATTGAGAGAGAACAGAGTGAGGGTTTCTGTGGTGGTGGTAATGTTTCATTTCTTGACAAGATTGGTGGTTCCACAGGGATTGGTCACTGTGATTGGCGGCAGCCTCTGAGATGGCCCTTAATGACCCCTGCCTCTTGGGAGTCACACCTTTGTGTGAGCCACTCCC